AGCAGCCCCTTCCTCACTGGCTCATTTATTCCAAAGACTTTTATGGAGCCTCTGCTCCATGAAATGCCCTGTGTTAGCAGTGGAAACACTGGGAGAAGCAGGACACCCCCACACCTAGAGCGATGGTCTAGGAGCCACAGTCACATGAGGTGCATCATGGGAGTGAGGGGAAATGGGACATTGCTATTAGGTGTCCTTTTGGAATTTGGATAAACCCCAGATAGGTCTGTTTCTGCTACAGGAAGGAAGGGGTCCTGGATCTTGTCACATTGCTGCTGACAACAGGGACAGAGTAGGTGTTTTCTACCACATATCTGCTAGAAATCCTGCAGAACTGCTGTCACACTCCCTTGAAGTGATGCCCAGAAATCCATCCTCTCTTTCCTGGTCCCAGGGACCCAGAACTCAAGGTGTTAACTAGCTTTTAATTATCTTCATTGTAAAGGACATTGTAATCAAAGACTCAACATTTATTGGTGATGCAGTAATGAAAAAAAAAAAAGGAGTTTGAACGGAAGGCCAGCTGGAACACTGCTCCACACCCAAACTTTACAGGTCCTCTAACTGGAAATGGGCCTGTCCAGGTAGCCCATACAATGAAGAATTTGCTTGCATTGTGGGAGACCTGGGTTCAATCCCTGGGTCAGGAAGATCCCCCTGGAGAAGAGTATGGCAACACTCTCGAGTATTCTTGCCTGGAGAATTCCATGGACAGAGGAGCCTGGCAAGCTACAGTCAATGGAGTTGCAGAGTCAGACATAACTGAGCGAGTAACACTATGGTTCACTGTGGCCTAAACTAGAAAAGTTTCTTAGTTTTATTTATGAAACATCTTGTTTGGTTAATTAGGAATTCCACATCCTATTGAGGTAAATATTCTGTGACCCACCCTGGACAACAAAACAGCCAAGCCCATCCAGTGGAGAGCGGAGGAATGTCTGGGGACAAGATTGTGAGAAATTCCTGTCCTGTCATCACAGGACCAATAGCTCCCCAGCCCTGTGAGCTCTGTCTCATCCCTCACGCGCATCCTGCAGCCCAACACAGAGGGCTCCTCACACCCACTCGCCTCCCAGATGAAGAACTGAGGCCACGGGACTTGGGCTTCTTCCCAAGACCACATGCTAGTGAGGGCCAGGGTTGGCTCAGAGCCCTGGTCTCAATTCCTCTGGAGCCCCCACCCTTCCTGACCACCCCAGGCGATGGCCCGACTTTCTGCCTTCTCACACCTTCTTCTTCTCAGTGCTACATGATGTCTCTGAGGTGACAGAAAGGAGGCCTGTTGTAAGAAAGGGAACAAGGAGAATCAGAAGCACTGTGGGGTTGCTCTGTGATTTGCTGAGAACTGACTCTGCCAGGGGCCGGCATCTCTATCCAATCCCAGCGTCTCCCACATGAGGGTGATGCCCTGTCCCTGCTGCTGCCATGGGGCCTCCTGCCCAACTGAACCTGCCAGGCTGACCAGCTCCTCACTGAGTGGGAGGATGGAGGACCTGACTGTATGGTCCCAGTGGCCACTGGGATAAGGCCCGTACAGGAGCCTCCTCTCATATGGGAGGGAAGGGAACAGAGGCAGACCCCTGAGGCTCCAGGTATCCCCAACCGCAGCGACGGAGGGGAGCAGCTGGAGGGCCTCTGGTCTGGGGAAACCAGGGCAGGGACACCCAGCACATGGGCAGGAGAGTGAGGCCGAGAAAGGCAGGTCTTGGACATCATGGTTTTGGAGAAGACGCTTGAGAGTCCCTTGGACTGCAAGGAGATCCAACCAGCCCATTCTGAAGGAGATAAGTCCTGGGTGTTCATTGGAAGGACTGATGCTGAAGCTGAAACTCCAGTACTTTGGCCACCTCATGCGAAGAGTTGACTCGTTGGAAAAGACCCTGATGCTGGGAGGGATTGGGGGCAGGAGGAGAAGGGGACGGCAAAGGATGAGATGGCTGGATGGCATCACCGACTCGATGGGCATGAGTTTGAGTAAACTCCGGGAGCTTGTGATGGACAGGGAGGCCTGGTGTGCTATGATTCATGGGGTCGCAAAGTGTCAGACACGACTGAGCGACTGAACTGAACTGAACTGGGCATCATGAGGGCTTGTGTGTGCACTACACAAGTGTCTGAGCCATGGCTGGTGCCACAAAAACCCACTGCCAGGGCCCGGGTGGTGCCTGGAGGAGTGGGACCAAAAAAGCCAGCTCCGTCAAGACCCAGGGGGCAAGGAGGTACCCCAAGCATGGAGGGGGCAAGAAAGGCCACCTAGCCAGGCTGCCCGCAGATGCCATGACCTTCTGATCCCTTTGGAGGAGTCACCAGGGGCCCCCACCGACGTTTACAGCCTCCAGAGTCATGTCCCAGTCAGACGAACTGAAGGAAGGCCAGGGGAAGCCCAAGTTGAAGCCTGGGGCTCATCCAGGCTGCCAGTCCTTAGGCAGAAAGGCCCCTGGGAGAGCTTCTTCCACACCCTCTTAGCTCTCCCCTTTAAGACACCAGGGACTGGCCCTCACAGAGGGAAAATGACCCTGCTACTGGCAGAACTGGGAGACAGTGTCCTAGGGTCCTTGAATACGGACCTTTCCAAGGTGCCAGTCTGTTTCCTACATGGTGATTTTCAAGAACAGTGGCCCAGAAATCCCAGAGAACACACATCTCCAAACCCACTGCTCTACTGTTTATGTGTGGTGAAGACCAGTGATTCTCAATTGGGTTTCATCCAGTCCCACACCCAGGCTCTCATCCTTTTTCAAATACAGTTAGATGAGGGCTTTCTTTGGTCACATCTAGCTCAACAAGTCAGACATGTCCTTGGGAGTGACTGTGTGTAAAGCAGGGCCCTTGAAAAGCGCCTAACCGATAAGCCAACAAAATCACTTCATGGACCTGCTGTCTGGGTAACAGAGAACAGGTCCACAGTGGAGGTTAGGACAGGGGCAGGGGCGGGGAAGATCAGAGCTGGCCTCGAAGAGGACCAGTGAAGTGCTTGTTTTCAACAGAACAGGCTATACCTTGAGCCCCCAATCAAGTACTTCAAAGGTTAGTTATCCAAATAGACTCAAGTTGGGCGTGGTCAGCCAGGACTGCAGGTAGCAGAAGCCCAAGCACCCCACTGACAAAAGGAAACAGGGCTTTCAAAGCAGCCTCCAAGGAGTCTGAATCCGAGGCTCCGGGGAGGGGAAAAGCACAAGCAGGTGTTCCCAAAGTGGACACTCTAGGGTCACCAGAGTGGTGTTTATGGGAAAAATTGGACACTGAAGGCAACAGCGTGTGATCTGCAGTGGGATGCCATCTGGGGGTGGGCAGACCTCAGGAGACTGTAAGCTCAGTTGAGCACCTGGCTTTGCCCTCCCACACAGTCTCCTGGGAAGTCTGTGTCTCAATTGTTTGGGAACAGTCAAGTGGAATATGAGGTCACTCCACTGTGCTTGAGCACAGCCCTACTCTGGGGAGAGCTCGACCTGGGGGTCGGTGGGGGCAGGACAACAGGACTCTGACTTTGGGGCCAACTGAGCGGGACTGACCAACCAGCAGCAGCCAGCTGGAAGACAATAAAGCCAGAAGAGGGGGAAGGATGGAGGGGTCACTAACTCAGGCAAGGCCAATCAGCCCACTATGGATCCCATCCTCTGGGAGGGACAGTTACCAAGGTCCCATCTGACCCCTGGGTTCTCCCTTGGTGTTCGTAGACCCAGGACTTTCCATGGCCTGGCCCTTCAGCAGAAGCCAGCCACAGGTCTGCACATTGTTAGGGCAGTGGGGCCAGGGGCACATTTGTCAACCCATCCAGGGCCTGGCCCCCTGAAACAAGGCACCTGGCAGCAGATGGGAGCCTTTGCAGGCAACCAGAAACAAACTTTTCTGTACTTTCAGACAAGAGACAAGCTGGGGATCCCATCTCCATCCCCATTCCCCCCTCCCCCACACTGGGCCAGGGCTGCCTCTCCACATCACCTCTGTGACATCATGAAACAATAAGGAAGCTGACCCCCTAATTGGCTGCCTGTCCCATGACTCAGATTCTAGAATCTCCAGACAGTATTTATGGTGCACCCCGACCCTGGTCTGAGCCCTGTTTGCCCTGAGCATTCACTGCTTGGGTAGATAATGCTCCCGAGCTCGATTGGTTCAATGGCTAATCAGAGTTCCCATGAGGCACAGGCAGCGCTGCTGGCCCCATCAACTGATGGGGAGCCCTCAGCAGGGGACCCCCGTGGTTCCTCCCCAGATCCAAATGTGGATTCATGGGAGGCTTTGGAGAAGCGGGTTGACCAACCTGAGAGCCCAGATTCAGGCCTCCACGACAATCTGCCCCCACAGGGCCCGAACCCAGAAATGGCCAACGGGGATGAGAACAACGCCAGCTTTGGGCTGTCCTTCCCCAGGAAGCTCTGGAGGATCGTGGAGGATGTGACCTTCACCTCTGTGCACTGGAATGATAAGGGAGACACGGTGGTCATCGAGGCAGATCTCTTCCAGATGGAGGTCCTCCAGCGCAGAGGCGTGGATCAGATCTGCGAGACAGACAGCATAAAGAGCTTCATTCGTGAACTGAACCTGTATGGGTTCAGAAAAATCCGCCCTTCAGGTCGCTCTGCAGGAAGAAAGAAGATGATGGTAATGTAGAATGCCCTTCTGGGGAGACTAGACTAGATGAGCTGAGTGCTGATCGGTTTCATTCCCCAGGAGAATGTTGTTCTCAGGAGAGAGTGGTTAAGGAAAGAGGAGAACGCAGAGTCTGTCTTGTCCCGCCATCACCCCCCCCCCCTTAGGATCTTTGGTGGTGACGCCAGATCCTGAGGGGCCACTTGATGTCAGGGAGTGTCGGGAACACCTCAAGCAAGGATGGCCCCAGGGGAGCTCTAGGGAGTGACATTCCAGGGCCTCATAACCTGCCAGGAATGAAGAGACCTGGTCTCCATACATAGGCACGACCCAATGGCTGTGGGGAGAGTGCGGCAAAGAAGGGCTCTTCTCCCCTCTCATGGCTAAAGTGATTCATTTCCTTTCAGATCTATCGCAACTCCAATTTTCAGAGAGACAAGCCTCTCCTCCTGCAGAACATACAGAGGAAAGGCAACCCCAGAACAACGTCTCAGCCTGCCACTGGAACAACAGCGACCCCAAAGAGAAAGAAGCGAGTGATGGCGACCAGACACTCTCCCCGACTCCACCACGAGTTCACCCAAGAGACTGGCAACAAAGTCCAGAAGGCAATGCCCACTGCTTGCAGAAACCCCAGCCAGTGCTTATTTGTGTTTTCTGACCTTTGGTCTATGGGTAGTGTAGCCAGCCAGGCTGGGGGAAACCATCTCCCCAGTGAGCAGGGTGGCCCCAGTGGAGAAGGCCCATCCAACAGTGCCACATCCGTGCCCCCAGCTACTGCTGGAAGGGACAGCCCAGGGGAACTGCCTGAGAGCCCCCCAGTGTACCCAGACTACGAATCGCTGATGACTTTGTACAGCGCTTGTTACTCCATCCTGATGGCGGGCCTTTTAGTCATGGCCCCAGATGAAGCCCCTGAGTCAGAGGAGGAGCAGCGAGATTCCTCAGATTATAAGTGCGCCCTCTGTGAGCAGGTCAAGAACAAGCCGAATCCCTGAGCTGCCAGATCCCTAGGAACACTCAAAATCACTCTCTTGTAATCAAAAATAGAATTTTGGCTCTAATAAAGTAAAGCAAAACCCCACTGGAGTAAATAAACAATCAAGTGAGAACTGCAAACCTGTGTTCTTTCTATCTGCCCTTTGTATTCACACATGGCACAGGGTGAGCCAGATGAGGCTGGAAGCCCATGCACCAGACAGGCTTCAATTCAGTCCCCATGGTCTCTTTTCATCTGAAACAGCAGCATTTCACAGGCTCATCTAAGGGTCTGACCCATGAGCTGAGCATTGCGGTGAACCCAGAGTGGACTGGTCCCTGGGCCTTTCCTGTCACTCAGCAGATGGCCCAGCTGGGCTCCTGACCTTGGGGGTGTCACCTTCCATGAGTCATGCACCCTGCAGCAGAAGGGGCTCCTCCTGGGTATCCTGATAATGCCACAAGTTTCTGATCAGCAGCTGAGCATCCCAGCTCCTGATCCAGGCCCCCTCCTATCAAGAGGCTGACTGGAAAGCAGGGTCACTCCAACCATCAAGCACCTTGCAAACACATTACCCCAAAGCCACAGACAAGTACAAGGTTTCGACAAGGTGAACACCAGCCCTTGTCATTCTGCCCTCACAGCTGTACTTAGGAGCCTGTCTTTGGACGTGAGGCGGCAAGGCACTGCGTCCAACACACACACTTTGACAGCCAAGGGACACTTTACAATAGGACAAGGGTCGTGTGCAAGGATAAATCGTGGCCTGTTTCTGGGCCTGCGGGCCTCTCTGCCTGCCAATGCACAGCCCTGCCCCCAGCCTTACCCTGTCACCCCCAGGACACTGTTCCAACATCAGGGAGATTGGACCAGAACAGAGAAGGAAAGACATTAACCGGTTTCCTAACAACACATTTCTCTCAACCACACAGACCCAGCACGGCCAAAATCGAGTGGCAACGCCATCATTTCGTAAAGGTCAAAGTCCCAGAGTCTTTTGCTGAGTCCAGAGTAGCATCCTGTGAGGGGAGTCCCTGCCCTTGGCCCCGCACCAAGTGGGCACCAGAGCGTGGGGCTGATTGAGATAGAATCAGATGGGCAAGTCCAGAGCGCGGCAGTAACTGCATGGTATCAGCATGTGCTGGTCTCTTGGTCACTTTCCTCTTGAGAGTCCAGTCTGGACAGGCCTCCTGCCCAAAGAGGATCAGGTGCTCAGAGATGTCCACCGGGAAGGTGTCTTTCCCCCTACCCCTGCCCCCTGGGATGGGCTGCAACAGCCAGTGGGGTTGGCCAGCAGTCATGTTACTTTTCTTGCTGGTCGGGTAGCAAGTCTTGATTCTCCAGCTCCTCCGCCTGGTCAGGATCTAGGTTTTTGGGACACAGAGAAGTGCCCCCGATGACCACGAGATATGTGCAAAGACAGGACACAGAATGAGAACAAGGTCATTCAAAGTTGCACCTGCTTGAGACTAACACCGTATCATGGAGGGAACCCGAGGTGAACTGGGTCCTCTGGCTGAGCATTTTGGAGGGGCTCACCTCAGCAAAGAGAACTCGGGGTGAGGCCAAGTGAGGGAGGGTGAGAAATGAAAGGGAGAGGACTGGGGTTCCACGAACCCACCAGGCCATAGGCAGCTTTCAGTCTGCCTACTGCAGGCCGCGAGGACAGAGCACGAGGGCCCCAGCGGGGACCCACAGACATCAGGTCCCTAAGGGATTTACCAGCAGACAGGTGTTGCTGTGTGACCTCACCCCGGGGAGTCAGGGGACTTGCTGCAGGCACTGGGGGTTTGGAACCCAGGCTAGGTGCTTTCCTGCCTCTCATGGTCTCTGCCAGGCACACTGACACGTGTGGGGACACACACAGAGACAAGTGCCACATGCAGAGCTGGTTGTACCTCTGCCTCAGAGCACGAACAGGGACTGAGGCCCAGAGAGGTGGTAGGTACTTCGGGCCATCATCTCCCAGCCAAAGGACCCTCACCACTCCTCTGAAGAAACCTCAGCCCCACCTACCCCACCAACTGGTTCAATAGAAAACAAACAAGCACAACCCAGCTGGGATCTAGGGCAGCACCATGGCCGTATGGGCAGCGCTGGGCAGGGTGTCACTTGCCTATGATCACTCCACAGCCAAACTTGTCCCCGTCCTGCAGCAAGGCCTGGGTCTGGACGGGGCTCATCCCCAGCCTCTGCTCCAGCATCTCCCACCAGACCGAGTCCTCAGAGTCCCAGTGTGCAATGTGGATGGCCAGGGCACAGTGGCAGTGGCCACATAGCATGGGCCACCACCACGTTTCCAGGGTCTTGACACCATTTAAGACAATACCCACATAACGCTTTCCAAAGGACAGACAGCCAAACTTCATCCCCCAGGACTCCCAGTTCCTCATGTGTGGTTGCAGAAACACAGAAACACAAGGGCCGAGAGCCTGACACAATGGTCTCCAAGTTCACAGTCCTGGTCTGGACCTCAGCCCCACGTGCCTAAACATCCTCTAAGCCTGCTGACATAGAATGAGGAGGGTCAGAGAGGGCTGACTCCTTCCATCCATCTCCACATGGTCCACTGATAGGGGGTTGCTGATCAAGAGGACCCATTAATCACATGAAGTCCATGGCCTGGTGGGTTCCTGGACCACCAGCCCTCTCCCTTTCACTTTGCTCCCTCCCTCACTTGTCCTTGCCCTGAATTCTGCCATAAGGGTGGTATCATCTGCATATCTGAGGTTATTGATATTTCTCCAAGCAATCTTGATTACATCTCATGCATCATCCAGCCCAGCATTTCACATGATGTACTCTGCATGTAAGTTAAATAAGCCGGGTGACAATATACAGCTTTGATATACTCCTTTCCCAAATCTGAACCAGTCTGTTGTTCCATGTTGAGGTCTAACTGTTGCTTCTTGACCTGCATACAGGTTTCTTGGGAGGCAAGGAAGGTGGTCTGACATTGCCATCTCTTTAAGAATGTTCCACAGTTTGTTGAGATCCACACAGTCAAAGGGTTTATAACATGGAAAAAGTAAATATTTTTTTCTGGAATTGTCTTGCTTTTTCTATGATCCAACAGATGTTGGCCATTTGATCTCTGGTTCTTCTGCTTTTTCTCAGTCCAGCTTGTACATCTGGAAGTTCTTGGTTCACATACTGTTGAAGCCTAGCTTGAAGGATTTTGAACATTTTGAGCATTACCTTGCTAGCACATGAAATGAGCACAATTGTGCGGTAGTTTGAACACTCTTTGGCATTGCCCTTCTTTGGGATTGGAATGAAAACTGACCTTTTCTAGTCCTGTAGCCACTGCTGAGTTTTCCAAATTTGCTGGCTTTGCAGCACTTTAACAGCATCATCTTTTAAGATTTAAATAACTCAGCTGGAATTCCATCACCTCCACTAGCTTTGTTTGTAGTGATGATTCCTAAGGCCCACTTAACTTCGAATTCCATGATGTCTGGCTCTAGGTGCGTGATCACACCGTCGTGATTATCTGGGTCATGAAGACCTTTTTTGTATAGGTCTTCTGTGTATTCTTGCCACCTCTTCTTAATCTCTTCTGCTTCTGTTAGGTCCTTACCATTTCTGCATTTCATGTTTTAATACAATAGAGCTAGGATTTACTGAAAGGCAAGGCTGATCTTATTGCAGGTGATCCCACATCTTGAACTGAGATACCGAGGAACTCATGAAAGGTCTCTTCCAAATAAAGACAGCAGTTAAAGTTCCACCTATTTGTTTTTTGCCTGTAATTGTTTGCTTGAGCCTGGTAAAAACACTGCTTTCGTTCTTAACAGAAATTTTACAAATCTAAGTGAAGAATATGCTCATTACTCTCTGTCATAGGCTGAATTGTGTGCCCCCCTCCAACTTCGCATGTTGAGGCCCTAACCCCAGCACTTCAGGATGTGCTTCTGTTTGAAGATAGGTACTTTAAAAAGGTAATTAACATTGAATGAGGTCATATGAGTGGGCCCTAATTCATTCTGACTGTGGTTCTTATAAGAAGAGGAAGTTTGGAGGCATAAAGGTACACAGGGTTAGACATGTACAGGGAAGGTGCCATCTGAAGATTCAGGATGGAGACCACCATCTACAAGCCAAGGAGAGAGTCTTCAGGAGAAACCTGACCTGCTGACACCTTAATCTTGGACTTCCAGCCTTCAAAACTGTCAAAAAATGAATTTCTGGGGGCTTTCCTGGTAGCTCAGTAGTACAGAACCTGCCTGCTAATGCAGAAGGTACAGGTTCGATCCCTGATCTGAGAAGATTCCACATACTGAGAAGCAACTACCCCATGTACCCAACTGTTGAGTCTGTGCTCTAGAACCCGTGGGCTGAAACAGTTGTAGGCTGTGTGCCCTAGAACCCATGCTCTGCAACAAGAGAAGCCACCACATGAGAAGCTTGTGCACTACAACCAGAGAGTAACTGCCACTTGCCACAACTAAAGAAAAGACTGTGCAGCAACAAAGACCCAGCACAGTCAAAATAAATTTTAAAAATTATTTTTAACAACAGAATTTCTGTTGTGCATGCTACCCAGTCTGTGACACTTTGTTCTAGGCAGCCCTAGCAAACTAATACCTGCTTCTACTTTTGTACCTTTGCCTGTTCCTAGTAATGGAACTCCAGGATTTTGGATCTGCTTGAAGAAAATGGGAGAAAAATATCTTTGGGGAGAAACAACATGTTTGCCTAAAAACTCTGTCTCCTGGCCTAATCTTTTGAAGACTTCCTAATCTTTTGAAGGAGGACTTGTGTGGCAGATCCTTCCCGCATCCCCTCTGCCTCGTGGCTGCAGCATACGCCAGCCAGACACTACACTGCCAGCATCTCGTCAGTGCTCAGAAGTTTTTTTCCTCATGCCTGAAACCTACTTTGTCAGTGCTCAGGGCAGACTGAAAATGTCAGGGAATTGATGCTTTATGACCCATAGGAACTGGAGCATAAATACCCCAGGTCCTTCATCCTCAAACACGATAACTCAGATAACTCTCCATAGGCTTACAGAGTTTT